TATAGAGTACGCATTTCTATGGAAAAATAACATTCTTTCAAAGCAACACTAAAAGACCCTATTAAAAACACATAGCTGGCAAGCCTGCAATAAAATATTTGGACATCAAATAAAGCCGCTCATTGCCAAGTTGAGTTTCAGGAGAAATTTACACTGACTTCAAACATCGAAGCCATTTACAGAACTGCACATGATAAGATGGCCCACACACACACTCACACAATACATCTCTAAAATGAACAAACAAGCAAATAAAAACCCTTTCACCCAGTTTGGCAGGAATGAAAAACAGGTTGAATGTAATATTAAAGCCCAGTAGTATAATTACCTGCAACCGTTCTTTATATTATCTTGGCACCTGTGGCACCTTCTACTCCAGAATACACAGGCCTTTTTTGATGATCCTTAGGCCTCATTCACACTGATGAGAGCCGGCCCGTACAGATCCGTGTGGCGTGCACAGCCGTATGGGGCCACTCCTGGGAAGGACAGGTGCTGCGTGTGATTGTAAGTAGCAGCCTGTTCTTCTCTGTGGGAGTACGCTCATCCGAGCTGGGTGTCCGTGCTCAGACACATAGAGGATCCATCTTGTCTCCGTACGAGTAGACACCCGCACGGACGTGCAGCTTGGGTGAGCATACGGCCGCGTACTCACATAGAGAAGAACAGGCTGCTGCTTGCAATCACACAAAGCCCTCGTCCTTCCCGGGAGCAGCCAATACGGCCGCCGCACGGATCTGTATGGGCCGGCTCTGCGCAGTGTGAATGAGGCCTTATTGAGAGCTTTCTAGAGTGTTTCCAGGTTCTAGCTCCACCCGTTGTAGCAGGGATAGGCAACCCCAACACTCCAGCTGCTATGGGACTACAAGTCCCATGAGGCATTGCAAGACTGACAGGCACAGGTATGACTCCCAGAGGCATGATGGGATTTGTGGAGTGCTGAGGTTGCCTACCCATGCTCTATAGAATGCACTGCAAAGAGAAAGAGGCTACAGACGAATCCAGAAGCAGAGCAGGCCTTCTCGTCCAACAGCAGTACCTGACATCACAAATGCGCTTCTGGAAGAATGGTCAAACATTCCCATAGACACACTCCTAAACCTTGTGGATGCCTTCCAGAAGAGTTGAAGCTGTTATAGCGACAAAGGACGGGCCAACTCAAAATTGAACCCTATGGACTAAGCCTGGGGTGCCATTGAAGTTTATGTGTGTATTATTACATTAGAAGATCGCATGCAGCTAATAAAATATTTCCCAGATGGACCAAAGTGGTTTTTAGTATGGAATTCATTTCAAAGCATATGGAGGCATGCACATATAGAGTACGCATTTCTATGGAAAAATAACATTCTTTCAAAGCAACACTAAAAGACCCTATTAAAAACACATAGCTGGCAAGCCTGCAATAAAATATTTGGACATCAAATAAAGCCGCTCATTGCCAAGTTGAGTTTCAGGAGAAATTTACACTGACTTCAAACATCGAAGCCATTTACAGAACTGCACATGATAAGATGGCCCACACACACACTCACACAATACATCTCTAAAATGAACAAACAAGCAAATAAAAACCCTTTCACCCAGTTTGGCAGGAATGAAAAACAGGTTGAATGTAATATTAAAGCCCAGTAGTATAATTACCTGCAACCGTTCTTTATATTATCTTGGCACCTGTGGCACCTTCTACTCCAGAATACACAGGCCTTTTTTGATGATCCTTAGGCCTCATTCACACTGATGAGAGCCGGCCCGTACAGATCCGTGTGGCGTGCACAGCCGTATGGGGCCACTCCTGGGAAGGACAGGTGCTGCGTGTGATTGTAAGTAGCAGCCTGTTCTTCTCTGTGGGAGTACGCTCATCCGAGCTGGGTGTCCGTGCTCAGACACATAGAGGATCCATCTTGTCTCCGTACGAGTAGACACCCGCACGGACGTGCAGCTTGGGTGAGCATACGGCCGCGTACTCACATAGAGAAGAACAGGCTGCTGCTTGCAATCACACAAAGCCCTCGTCCTTCCCGGGAGCAGCCAATACGGCCGCCGCACGGATCTGTATGGGCCGGCTCTGCGCAGTGTGAATGAGGCCTTATTGAGAGCTTTCTAGAGTGTTTCCAGGTTCTAGCTCCACCCGTTGTAGCAGGGATAGGCAACCCCAACACTCCAGCTGCTATGGGACTACAAGTCCCATGAGGCATTGCAAGACTGACAGGCACAGGTATGACTCCCAGAGGCATGATGGGATTTGTGGAGTGCTGAGGTTGCCTACCCATGCTCTATAGAATGCACTGCAAAGAGAAAGAGGCTACAGACGAATCCAGAAGCAGAGCAGGCCTTCTCGTCCAACAGCAGTACCTGACATCACAAATGCGCTTCTGGAAGAATGGTCAAACATTCCCATAGACACACTCCTAAACCTTGTGGATGCCTTCCAGAAGAGTTGAAGCTGTTATAGCGACAAAGGACGGGCCAACTCAAAATTGAACCCTATGGACTAAGCCTGGGGTGCCATTGAAGTTTATGTGTGTATACACATACTATCATTTGCTGAGCTGCGTGGCAAATATGCCCTTCCAGCCCGAGATTTCTACAAATACCTCCGTATAAGACACTATCTGCAATCTGTCAGTGTTACTGGAGGAACCCTTCTTAGGAGAGGCATACAGTTTTTTTGCGCTAGTTCTTTGCCCAAAAAGGGGATCTCCTTCTTTTATAATCTACTTAGTGCACCCATAACTCAGGATAAACTACCATCTATGAAGTGGTTGGAGGATGAATTACACTTTTCCATATCCCCGGAACACTGGTACAAAGTGATCTCTTGGCCCTTGAAAACGTCAAAATGTCTGAGCCACTGGGAATCCCTCCAGAAAATATTACACAAATGGTACTTTACGCCTCAGAAACTCACCAAAATGTATCCTTCATCCTCACCGCTTTGCTTTGTGGGAATGTGGGCTCCTTGACACACGTCTGGTGGTCTTGTTATCTCTATCAGATTCTTTTGGGATACGGTCTTCACCTTCATTTCTGCAGTTACTCAGCTCCCCTGTATTGGGTCCCCACAATTTGCCCTCTTGGGGATAGGAATGGATGATTGGCCTACAGATTGTAGAACTGTAGACTCCCACATTCTTATCGCTGCTCATCTAGCTATAGCACGGGCCTGGAAACAATCGGATCCTCCTTCACTTAGTGTGGTTGTACAAATATTAAACACGCATGCCCACTTTGAATTTTTATTTGCCAAAGCTAATTTGAAAACGCGCACCTTCACCTCACAATGGGCCTTTTGGTTGACAGACACCAGATTCCTGAGTCTGTTTATTATGTATCAGACCTTTGTGATCATTATATATTTATTGCGAATATGCGAGGAACACAACTTACACCTACTACCCTATGTCTACGTTGTACCTGGACTTTCTACTAGGAGTAATTTTTATGTAAGCCTTCCATTACCTGTTATGCCACTTACTATCTCTCTGTTAATGCTGCAATGTCATCTCATGCTGATTGTTTTTACATACAATTGTTTAATTGATGACCTTATCTATTGCTGCATAATAGTGTAGTTTATTGCTTATCTTCTATCTACAGATACTGTTTGTGTATAGTTAGGATTATTTTTATTTTTTTTTGGTCTATGTATCCGTGTTGTATTCTTTTTGCTTATTATTTCTGTTCTATTGACAAAATCTAATAAAATCATTGTTAAAAAAAAAAGAAGTTTATGTGTGTATAAAGGCAGGCGTCCCAATACTTTTTGCAACAGAGAGTGAGGTAGGTGTGTGTGTGTGTGTAGCCCCGTTATTGTTTTTCCTCCTGGAAAGCTGGCCCCTGAGGTAGCTCTAGACCAAAACAAGAATGGGCAACCAAGGCTTAAATTGGGCAGCAGGTGTGTCTAAAAGTAGCTGAAGGTCCCACCCCACATGGCACTCTCCTTCCTTTTGGTCTGGGAAATAGAAATACTTGGTGGTAAAAGGCAGCATTGTCAAGCCCTTATTTTCCTCTTGATGAGTGGGGTGCCAAAGTGGCCAATCACCAGACCCCAGCACTGCCACATAGGGGCAGGAGGAGAGTCCTAAGCCCTGTGCAAGCTTCTACCAGACTTGTTTGCAGGTGGAGTGAAGGAAAGAAAACCAGCCTTGCAGAGCCTTCATTTAGTTGAACCTGTAGCATTGCCGTTCATCTGCAGTACACAAGTTCACTGAGTTTGGAATTCTTTTTTTAATACTATAACACTTGTAAAATGACATTTTCTGAGATCTTAAATATACAAATCCCTTACAGAAGCCTGCTGCCAGTGTTTCCACAAGCTGTACAGTCATAGAATTCCATACATTCATATCACATGTTCAGGTAAGAGGTTTCCTGTCTTCATATTTCAGCACAAGACCCCCAGGCTCACTTAACTTGATCAATCTTAGTTTTGTCCCTAAAATCATGTGTGAAATGACACGTCCTGGCAGTTTCTTTTTTTAGAAAAAGATGCAAACGAGAGCAGTTTTACAATATGGTCACACAAATGTTTCCTAACTTGGAAGTAGGGGGGAAACTGTCCCAAAGTCAAGATTACAGAATAGAAGGGTAAAATCTGTTTTCTGAAATGCCTTTGTACAGTAGGTAAAGGGGCTACCAGAAACAAATATTGGAACATTCTTGGAGTTTCCATTGCAATTACCAGTTTAACCTTGCTATGAGTTCCTGCATCTGCATCCTATGTAAGAATAACACATACAACAGAAATTTGAATGAGAACAGCTGGGAATGCAGATCATTCAAACTGTAATTTGCCAGGAAAACATTTTGACTTCGGAGCTGCTGATTTCTTGTGTGCATGACTTGTGTATTTAGGCTGTTTGAATTGCATCTGTTTCCCAGGTTTTTGCAGAGCAATACATTAGAAAGCCAATCTGATCCAGGTTTTCATGGGCCCCCTCGGATTCCTCCAGAGGTTGCTAGTGGTTCCTCAATCTGTGGTTGATTGACTTCCCATTTTATGGTGCCTGCATAGTACCAGGTCCTACACCACTTAGCAGAGCCAACGACATGACATCGATGATCTTGTAAGCGGTCTGCAAGGGTTGCATTCTCAACACCATTGGGAAGGGGACATTTTTCTCCACTTAAAGAAAGGATGAATTAGTTTTAGCAGGGGTTACACGAGCCATGAACATTAGGGATGCACCGAAAGTTTGGCCGCCGAAACATCACTATGGCCGAAATTGCGGTGCATCTATAGTTTCTATCCTCCCTGCTGGGCACTGCTCTGTGTCCCCTCTGAAACAGCTAAGGGTCTAGCGGTGCGGCAAGGGAGAGCGTTGCCAGCGTGCCACAGGGGGCCGGGCTCTCCTCCCGCACCACATCAGTAGAGCAGCGTGTAGGCAGAGACAGCTGTCACTGGAGACCGAGTCAGCAGTGAGGGGGAGGAATCGGCTGTCAAATAAAACGGAGCTCTCCACCCCGCACAGCCGGCTCACCCTCCTGTGACAATGAGTCAGGCTGGAGCGGGTACAAGCACTCCGTGATCGCTGAGTGCTTGTAAATAACTGGACATAGTATGAGTTACTATGTACCAGTTATGAATGAATGGGAAGTGATCTACGTCACTTCCTATTCATTCATGATTGTGTACCCGGTAACTCATTCTATGTCCACAATTTATGAATGAAGAGGAACACTCAGTATAGAGGATTCCTTTTCATTCAGTGCTGGGGCTGCAGAAAAAAAAAAAAAGAGAAGGATTGAGGACTGTGTCCTCAATCACTTTTTCTATTGCAAAACGGAAATATCAGGAGTCTATTTAGACCCCAGATACTTCACCGAAGCCCCTCAACAGTAAAGTTAAAAAATGAAAATATTAAAAAATTTAATTTAGAAAAGGTTCAAAAAAATTTTTTTTTTCGGTTTCAGCCTGACATTTCTTTCTATTTTTGGTCTCAAAATTTAATTTACAGTGCACCTCTACTGAAAACGATTTCAAATTAATTTGACTGGGCTGCCTAATGCACCAAATAAAGTGCATGCAGCATTTGTGGCAGCACCCGGCAACACACATTACCAGAGCACAATAGTGTGAGTGGGCTGTTAAAGAAAGAGCCGTAAGATGCTCCAGCTAAGGATCATAGGGAGAGACCCCGCCTCTGCCTTTAAGTGAACCTGTGCACAGACCAAGGACATTAGAATATTGAAAAAAATATATATTTATATATTCCGAACAACAAGTAAAGGATTGAAAACAAGTTCTTATTCACCTGTGTAGCTGCAGGTACTTTGGAGAAATGTATTTTGACCGTTCACAGCAGAGACACTGAAAGCACAACTTCTCCCGGCCTAATTTTGAGGCATTTTGATAGTAGCATAACTCCTCCTAAGAAACAGTGCACTGCGTGCATTAGGACTGAGGGATCTTGAGAAGAGTTCTGAGGCAGAGTGCTGTGATGTTCTCAGAAAGCTATGTACAATAATCTGCCAGCTCCTCCCACCAGCCACGGTCTGTCTGCATTGCATACAGAAGCAGAGACTCAGCGAGTGGGTCTAAAATAAGGTATGTAATGGAAACGGAAAGGTTTATTTCAAAATGTCATTATTATGGTAATGGAGAAAAAGGAGGAACCAGGGAAGATAAAAGATTAGTTGACTAAATGTCAGCTTTAAATAAGGAAGCTTTAGTTTCATTCCTCACGAGTGGAGGAAGCAGCGTGAGCAGCAGGAAATGCAAGTACCCCCCTTGTTCAGGTACATGCTTGCTTGATAAACCTTATTTCTGTGAGAGGGTTGCTTTTAAAGGAAAGTTGTGATGACAGAAATATGTAGGCCGCCATTGCTGACCTTCTAAAGTGCTAGTTACTTGGTTGTCATGCAGGTTTCAATACTGTGGTAAAAAGAAGAGATAAAAAATGACCTCATTAGTTGTATGCTTGCTGCTTGTATGCGACCCAGAAGGCAAACACAGCCAGGCAAAGGGCAATTACAGAGGATTCACACTGTACATCTCGCATGACAATTGCACTTTAACATACCACACAACTCTTTTGCCATGTTCTTTATGGTAAAACAGTAAAACGTAATGAAACAAAAATGTCCATCTAATGTCTATGATTAAAAGAGATTTACAAACATGGGAAAAGCAGCAGTGGACAATTGTTACAATGAAGCCCTGTTAGAAAAAAAATAAGTGTATCAAACATACATAAAAACTGGTTACAATAAAGCAAATTCCTTTACACATGTACAGAGTCCTCCAGTAATTTACACATCAGAACACACACAAAAGGTTGAACTTGATGGACTTGTGTCTTTTTTCAACCTCAAATACTATGCAACATCAAGATGCTCTCATTTCCCCCCTTCTTCATAAAGCAGATGGTGACGGCTTATTTTCTAGAAAGAAAAGAAAATGGATTATTTACAGTGGTCCTTTTATTGAGCATGAGGCATCCTTTCATATCAAGTCCAAATCTCCCAAATAGTGAGTGCATGGCCAATATTTATTTGGATAGGGAAGGGTTCAAATCCAGATTGTGTTATTTCGCTCCTGCCTTCGTACTGCTAAAGAGATTTCTTTTTATTTCCTCTCCTGGAGATGCAACAGGAAATGAAAGAGAACCTCACCAAAGTGAGAGAAATCCACATATTGCAAAATCGTCCCCATTGGGTGATTAACCCTCACCTCTTGCTCTGGTGACAACTCAAAAGGTTTTGGATTTACCATCACTTTCTCTCGGTGATAATGATCACCAGTATAAACGGGAGTGAATCTCCCCAGTAGAGATGCAGACCACAATAAAAACTTGCACAGGTTGTAACCCTTTTCCACACTTGTCAAAACTTAAGAAATGTTTCTCTCAGCACAAATAGTATTAAGCTACGTACATTCACTTTCCACAATCAATCATGGTCATACTTCCATCATTGCACACAGGTCAAAGCAGACCGTCCAGCCTGCTTGCAGCAAAAGGCATGCTAAAACAGTAGACTTGTACTGCGGGAAACTAAAATAAAATGAAAGCAGGCGTTGTATGGTGGGCAACAGAAGGTTCCTCAGCATACCTTCAGTAGGTGAACTCACTTCCCCCAGAGTACCTGGTATAGGTAGAATAGGCATACCTCCTCCTCCCTCAAAGCTGCATTTGGTGCCTGAGTGACTAACTGCCAAGCACTTGCATTGTCCCATGGAGAAACACATAGGCCTATGCAAGTAATGACTTTCAGAAGGAGCTTCAGGGGCTCAGGAGGCAGGTACGGTGATCTGTCAAACTCAACAGGCATATCACATCTGCTTACCTTGATCCACCAACACCATGTCTTTGCTGAAGCCTTTCAACGTCACATACAAAGTTGGAAACTCAACTACTGTCTTCTTCTGGAGATTCGCTCTCAGACTTCTACTGATATCCAGCTCATAATACCTGAGTTACAAAATATTATCTGTATTATGCAGGAGATTAAACCCTCAGCAATTATGATGAAATTAGGTATTTAAGTCATGATCATTGTATGGAAGCCTACACATCTCTTATAACATTTCCTTTCATGTGTTTTGCATTGCTTTACTGATTAATTAAAATTGTATTTACTGCATTTCATCACATTTACACTATATGGCCAATTTTTTTTTAACACGATCACCACACCTATCTATATGGCCACAGGTTTTTGGACACCGATGCGAATTCTTGGGTTCAGGTCTTTCCAGGGAAGGGTACGGTTACAGCATACAAAGACATTACAGAGAATTGTGAATTTAAACCTTGTGACAACAGCTTAGGGAAGGTACTTTTTGTTACAGCATAACTGTACCCTTGTATACAAAGCCAGCTCCATAAAAGACATGGTTTGAGGAGTCTGGCGTAGAGGATATTGACTGGGCTGCTCTGATCTCAACCCTACTGAACACCTTTGGTATTACCTACAATGTTAACTGGGAGCCAGATCCTCTCATCCAATATTAGTTCCTTGACCACACAAATGCTATATAGGCTGAATCGGCACTAATTCCCCCAGACACACTCCAAAACCTTGCAGAAAGCCTTCCCAGGATAACTAAAACAGGACTGTCACTAATGCCATATTAATGCCATATTAATGCCCATGGTTCTGGAATTGGATATCCAACAATCTCATATAGTTGTGACCGTCAGGTGTCCACAAAAAGTTTGGCCATATAGTGTATACTGAGATTTTTTTTTTTCAATTTGAAAGCATGTTTGAAGCTTCTCCAGTAAAAACACTTGATACAGTTTAAAAACAAACACAAACCGTCTATAGACATTGATAGTTCATTTTCCTTGCGCTGATATACACTGCCTGTCTAAGAAAAAAAAGTCACCACCTGGATTTAGCTAAGCAAATAGGTCAGAGCCTTCCATTGGATATTAGGTCTAGGTTCAGCAAAATTACGTGGCCAAAAAATGAGGTTAGCTGCCTCCCTGAATATACTGAATGATCAGGTTTTTTTTCTTCCCCCGATGGCACATTGGGTATACTCCAGGAGGACAATGCCAGGATTCATTGAGCTCAAATTGTGAAAGAGTGGTTCAGGGAGCATGAGACCTCCTTTTCACACATGGATTGGCCACCAGAGTCCAAACCTTAACCCCATTGAGAATCTTTGGGATGTGCTGGAGAAGACATTACACAGAGGTCCGACTCTCCCATCATCACTACAAGATCTTGGTGAAAAATGAATGCAACTCTGGATGGAAATAAATGTTGCGACATTGTATAAGCTTATGGAAATTATGTCACGACAAATGAATGCCGTAATTAAAGCTAAAGGTGGTCCAACGAAATATTTGAGTGTGTGACTTTTTTTTTTGGACAAGCAGTGAATATTAAATAAAAAAAATAAAAAAAAAATCTCTGCGTTTTTAGAGAAACACAAGAAGTGAAATAGAAAATGCAAATACAGTCATAGACAGAAGCGGTGATCAGTTTTCAGTGCATCTAATTATGCTCTAAGAAAAAAAAACTGGCAGTGCCACAAGAATTTTGTTTAACTATAAAATAACGTTCAAGAAGTGGAATGGGCTCGAGTGAACCTGTGACCTCCTGGGAGTGAATGTTTAGAATGTGCCGAGACTCCCCAAAAACAACAGTCTCAGGAACCAAAAAGGAGGCTCCCACAATGCATTGTGAGATACTGGCAGACAGAGGGATAGCTGGAGTTTTAACAAAGTTGAGGATTTTAGGTGTGCGCCTACGATTGGGGAGGTTTCCTGAATGCAAAAAGAAAAAAGCAGCACGAGATACATTTTATTCTGAACCTCAAGAAAACCAAGAAAAATGAATCCAGTTGTATATTTATTGATGATCTATTTACAACAAATGTGTCCTTATATTAGCTTCATGTAATACCTTTCAAAGCAGGACAGGGAGAAGGAAGGGTCAAGTACTAACAGCCATTCTCTGCTATGATGCAGTGCTGTCGGTCTAGCAGTGGTGGCTTCCTAACAGGTGAAGTGACTAAGATAAAAAAAAAAATGGTGATGTAGTTACCCTCCAATCAGCAGGCTAGGGGCAGTTCCTTGGCCAAGCTGTACTGATATTATTGAAGTGGAGTTTGGAGACCTGGCTATGCTATTTGGCACCTGTGCATGAATCATAAAACATACAGCACAGTTATAAATCTTTTCCAGCTCAGATAGTTCTATTATCTGCATTTCATCTGTGTATTTAGCAACGTGCCCAGAGTCCAGGTTTATGGACACCAGCAAGAACCCTCTAGTACCTGCTTAGCGGAGATGCCATTTAAAAGATCTGCACATATGACTTGCACACTTTGAAAAGTATATAATCCACATTTTGCTGTAGCCTACCTCTTTGGACCAGGCTCCTTCTTTTCTGCTTCCATAAAGACCTTTACATCACAAGGAGATCCCACATACTCCTTTAACCTGAAAAACAAAAAAACTGCAATCATAACAAACTCATATGTTTGCTTTAAACCTGCACATGTAACCAGAAATTACATCCATGTCATGCTTTGTCACACAGGCCACTTAGTGCTCATGAAAGTTACAGCTGAAATCCGGGCTAAATAAATATTATCTTAATACAAGAGCAATTTGTATTTTTAAGTGACTCTTGGCATCCTTTCTGTATTTCTTCCAGATCTGTTCAGTAATCGATTACAAAACAACTCTCAGATTATGCTGTGTGAAGGAATTTCCTTTGATATAGACCAGTCACTGCTTCTCCCTCTTCTTGTGCAGGGCGACTGGTCTTGTATCCACCCACTCCTGTAGATTTCTACAGGCAGTCTGTAGTTGGTGGGGCTACTGGGTCCCTTCCACATCTCTGCTCTCTGTACAGGCTATGTGCTTCTCAGTGATGTCTGGGTTTGCAAAGCCATATAGTGCGTACAAAGTGGATTTATATATTGTGTGACACTGAGAAATATAGAACATTTAATCTTCCAGAACCAGGTTTTTGAGTTCCACCCCCACCAGGTCATATACAAAGGACATTTTATGATCTCTTCTGCTTGTGCAGGTCTCCCAAAAACAAAACATAAAATGGCATGGTGGCTGGTCTTAAAGCAGCAGGGGTCTGCAGTAACAAGACAAACTTCAGAGCAGACTACCCTCTTCAATGACCCATCCAACCCGTGGCAAGAATGACTTTAAAATGTATGAGAAAGCAAATGTTAAAAATTGCAGGTGGAGAAGAACACAGTGATAACAAAAGAAAAAAGGAGCTGGTTACCTTTGTCGAATGGTTGGATCGGACTGTGTCGGATCAATGTAATTTTTCAGAATCTCGCCAAGTGTTCTGTCATCTGGAACCCTTCCAAACAAAATCAGAAGCAGACACATAAATCACCTGCACTGATAGTTGGTCAGAAAACATGAATAAGGACAATGCAATGGATGTTTAAAGTCACACTAAACTTATTAGTAGCTTATTTGTTTATCACGCGTCTGTAGGTCCGCAAATCATCTCTGAATTGGTGCCGACACTGTCCTTCCTTCTGGAGTGCGGCTACTTTTGTTCCCCATGGTCCCGGTGTAAAGTAGTCACCGCTCCAAGCTCACTCCCGTGATGGACTACAATCTCATGTTTAGTTTACTAAATTTGTATGCATCACAGGAGGGAGCTTGGAGCAGTGACTACTTCCCTGCTCCCTTTTCCTACTTCTTCCCTTTTCCAAACTAGTAGACAGTTGCTGGAGACTGCTCTGTCCCTTTGTGAGCTTGTACTGCTGAGCTGCGAGAATTAGAGCCGTTTGGAAACATAATTATTAAGTGTTTGGGCAAATATGTAAAGAAATACCTCTTATCTGTGAATTCTGCTTGACAGTGAGGAAACACAAGCTTCAAGTGCCAGTAAAATTTCTGCTCTCTAAAACAAAAAGAGAAAAAAAAAAAAAAAAAGACACCGATTATAATATATTGGTCACATATAATACATTATATTTTTCGATATAGAACACACAGTGCATCGCAGCTTTTTTGCGTATAGAGCTGCATAGTCGCAGACCAGTCAAGGGCGCCCATGCTCATCTCTGTCCACTGCCAAAAGTGCACACAATGGGCACGTGAGCATCAGAACTGGACCACAGAGCAAATGGAAGGTGGCTTGATGAATCAAGTGTTATAATATGTAGATGGCCGGGTGCATGTGTGTGGCTTATCTGGTGAAGAGATGGCACCAGGATGTACTATGCAAAGGAAGACAAGCCAGTGGAGACAGTGTGATGCTTTGGGTATTGCTCTGCTGGGAAACATTGGGTCCTGCCATTCATGTGGATGTTACTTTGACATGAACCACCGACCTACACATTGTTACTGACCAAGTACACCCCTTCATGGAAACGGTATTCTCTGATGGCAGTGGCCTCTTTTAGCAAGATAGTGCGCCTGGTCAGACAGCACAAATGGCTCAAGAATGGTTTGAGGAGCACCACAATGACTTTGAGGTGTTGACGTCGCCTCCAAATTCTCCAGATCTGATTCCAATCAAGCAACTGTGGGATGTTGTGGAAAAACAAGTCCAATCTATGGAGGCCTCACCTCACAACTTACAGGACTTAACAGGATCCATCTGACGGCTTGGTGAAAGATATCACAACATGCCTTCAGAGGTCTAGTGGAGTCTATGCCTTAACAGGTCAGGGCTCTTACATATGTGAGACACGATGTTTCCTGCATAGTGCCTTAAATTCCTTATATGGACTTGTACTTGAAAATTATTTTTGCGTTGAAGAACATTGAAAACTTCATAATTTTAAGTATTTGGTTGCTAAGCTGGTTTGTTGTGAAGCCGTCATGTTCCTAGATTTGAGAATTACATAAAACAAAAAGAGAGTATTTATTGGATTGAGACTGTATTTTCATCCAAGTAACAACTCTTGGTAATGTTTCATGAAACACGCCTTGACTCCTGGCTCCGTCCCTGCGAAATTCTCCCACGTCACTAACGTGACTTGTCTCTCTGTATACTCAAACGGCTTTTTATATTTTCTCAGACTGGTATTACCCAGGCTCAGGATAAAGAAACACCCATAGTTTTATGCCCTGAACGTATGTCTGGAAGATGTCGACGTTTTTGGAGTGATGTAAGTGTAGGCCCAACCTGTCTGAAGCCCAGTACAGGCTGCCGCTTTGAAAATGGCTGGACCTCTACCACATGGTATGTCATGAGGCTCGCCTGCCAACATAATGGATCTCATTTAAGCCTTAGGAGGGAAGAATTTTTCTCCATAATGGCCAATCAGATTCTCTCTTCCCTTTTTCCAGGGCAGTATGATGAATGAAAGACAGCGTCAACTGGTGTGGGTAACAGAGGCATTGATTCCCTCAGGCTCCTTCATTAATATTTCCCATTATGCATATATGAAAAGTTTATGAAATAAATGGTTGTCAACTCCCACATGAAATATCTCCGTATAACTTAGTGCCATGACTCAGGGAAACCAGGAAATCCCATGGAAACAACTGATTATTTACCAAGTATAATTACACAGGTCTCTTATGTGAAAGAACTGTCTTTGTTGCACAGTTACCAACCAGATTCAAGAACTCAGATTCAAACAACTGTGAGCTGGCAATAAAGATTATGGAATATATCCAACTGTCCAGACCCTGAAAGGCGGCACCTAGTGATGCCTTCATGTACTTCTACAAACCTTGCAGAGCACCCTAGGAGCACTATTATGCATTTCTTGACCAGCTACTATAGTTGACAGGATGGGGTCGCTTCCTGCTTTATCTAGCTACTGGTCAGTAAAGCCAGCCTTCTAAAAGGGCAAAAGTAAAGCTGGCCAACTATGATTCAAATTTCTGCCATCTCCTGTTGAATTGGCCAAAAGCTAATCCATGGGTGATCCATGGGTGGCCCAGCTGGTAGCACCTACTGTGGCGAAAGTCGATTCTTCAAATCGACATTTGTTGAGGGAGCCAGGTGAAAAACAGTCAACCGAACAGCCAATCAGCAGTAGGATCCAAAGACATCCGTTAATCTGTGCAATAATAGAGGAAGGTTGGAGGTGGGAAACAAAGGAGGGGGGTACCCACCTCCTGCACCCAGGATTCTAAGACACAAACAGTCCAGTGGGAACAGATCTCTAGAAATGGTCTCCAACTGATGTGCAGTTGGGGCCTTAAAGACCCTACGCATTCTCCAACGGAATGGTAGTCGCTGTGTTAAGGCGGGACACTACTGCCGGATCTGACATTAGCAGTATGAAGCCAAGAAATGTATGGTATTGTATGCTTACATCTATATGATAAATGATCGAAGAAGAGAAGCCTAGTATGAAAACTTGATTGCCAGGTTTTTGATAATAGTGGCTAAGTGGTTAGCACTTCTGCCTTGCAGCACTAGGGTCCTTGGTTGAACTTCTAACCAGGACACTACCTACATGGAGTTTGCATGTTTTCCCTGCCCATGTGTAGGTTTCTTCCGGGTGCTCCAGTTACCTCCCACACTCCAAACACATGGTGGCAGGTTGATAGGCTCTGGTCTAAACTGGTTGTAGTATGTGTCTGGATACATGTGAGATAGGGACCATAGAGTGTAAGCTCCTTGAGGGCAGGGATTAATGTGAATGTACATTTAAAGTGATCCAAAAATTGTTGGTGCAATTTAAATACCTGCATTAACCATTGCATATATTTAGAGCTTAACTCCAGGCACCTTCCTTTGGCTTACTACTGCTCCCAACAGTGCCAATGAGCATGTGACCATATCATGAAACAGGGAGTAAGGCCTGGTTCACACCTGGGCGTTTTGGAGCGCGTTCCTACGATGTGCAAAACGCTCAAACACCGAAATCCCATTATTTCCTATGGGTATGGTTCACACCTGGGCGTATTACAGGCCGTATGAATGCGCTACAAAACGCCCTACGCCCAAAGAAGTACAGGAGCTTCTTTGGGGCGTATTTGCCGCGCGTATCCATTGGGATACAGCCAGGTAGCCCTCGGAAACACGCGTTTGTCGCGCGTTTTTTTACCGTGAACTGCGGTAAAAACGTGCGGCACGAAACGCACGACAAACGCGCATATTCGATACGCCTAGGTGTGAACCCAGCCTTAGAGGTGAATGGAATTGAATGTGAACTTTTATGGAAACATCAACAGGTGTAAACGCGACCACAATGTTTGCCATGTATGTAGCTTTCCAGGGCAGGATTGTTTTTTTAATCAGTAACAGTGGAACTACGTTTTAAATGTGAAGCCACTGTCCAGTAAGATATTCCATCAACAACCAAAAAACAAAAATCAGAGAAAATAACATTCAGTACTGGCCAATATAAAATATGCAAGATATTATCCATGTAGCTCTCACGTAAAAAGACAATAGGAGTCAGGAAATACGGTCACCCCACTTGGCAAATGCTGTTCAGAGCACATAAAAGGGAACATATGAAGCGAAGAGGGAAAAATACAAAACACAAGTAAATAATAAGGGAAAAACAATCGAAAATGTTATTAGAGTGTCAGATAAATCAATCCTGCAAGGGCGGAGAATGCTTGCTTCTATGTACTCTGAACTCACCAGTTGCCATATTCTACACATACAATGTATTAGCCTGCAGGCAGTTTTAAAGCCCAACTCAGCTGAATAATTATTTCAAGTCAAATTAGTTCTGAATCATGAATACAAGTAATTATCTCACTGCTGCTGGAATAATTACTTGAATTCCAAAAGTAACATTTCCAGAAGCTGTAAAAATAAAAAATAAAGCTTTGGCTACTCTATGGAGGAGCAATGGTGCCATCCTTGGACAGCAGCACTGTCACCCTGTGGGGAGAGTCATTTTAGATGGACTTGTCTAACAAATCAAAGCTGAATTCCAGCTAACACTTCTTAAGCTGTTACAGCAAAAATGTTGTTGATTTTCTTTTTGGATAAACATTTTACATAATTTAAATATTTGCTAACCATTGTATGCACCCCTGTCAGTGTTAAATGGTTGGTCCCAACCCTGTATCTGCCACTTTTGCTGGACAGCTCGGCCTGTTAAAAATAATACTCACTGGCTGTAACATCAGATACAAATAAAGGAAAGGAAGCCTAGAAAACTAATGCAGCCACCAAATGCGAGAATTAGTAACCTGCTACATAGTAACATGTTGCTTTTGGCTATGCTTTAAGACTGTAATATCGTAATAATGGAAGACTCAATATTCACATTCTTGCATAAGCCCAGTTGTAACTAGTTCTCTTTAGCTACCCAAGGCACGTTAACCTTAAAAGGGCCGTCCAGTCTTTAGAACCTCTCTCGGCCCTTCCTAATCTGAATGTTTCAGCAGACGGTTTTAAATTATGTGGAAATATTTCATAAACCTTGAAGGGGAGGAAGTCATAAAACCATGCCCGACCGCTGGCGATTTTATAGAGAGCAGCGCTGCAAACTTCTAGGTTAAGCAGTACAAGCAAGCATTTTCAGTAAATATTAAGACGAAGGCAGTCATAACTGCAAAGGTTGTTTGAATCAAAATACATCTTTTAACACTCGATCCAATGTTTTGATTCCTAGTCCGTTTCCCTGAACAAACACGGCTTGTACAAGAGGCCTGTGTGAGCCGCCTGCTCGCGGGGCGCAGAACACGGGGGAGAGTGTGTGAGCTGCCGTTGGCCTTTTTCAGATTCCTTTGGAAAGTTGTAATGTTTGTTAAGCAATAACTTGGAGCCTCAAAAAGCAGAAAATCTCTCACTGATTTCCATTCGGTTTCCGCCCCTGGAATGAAGGAAACCACTGAAGAAAAAAAAAAAATCCTCAATGCTCTTTTTGAAGCTGCAAAGTTCACATTTGCTCAAATTATATACAGAAAATTAATTCAGCGACACAGGAATGCAATTGGTGTAGTTGCTGTCAGGTATGTCTTCAAAGG